ATCCTGCATTTCCAAAACATGCGGCAATCGATCTAGCACTCCCTAATTTACATTGCTGCCCTCAGTGCCAGTCACTTCTTGCTGGACTTGGCATTCATGACCGGGTTCTTGGCATTCCCATTCATGCGAAGAGCCACTGGGTTCAGTGCATTCGCGACCTGCGATAGGACAGTCGCTGGCGCTGATCCCTGCGAGGTCATTCCCGCAGTCGAGGAGGTCGGAACATTCCAGGCATTCCGGTCCTCGCCATCATCCTCGCCATACATTTCATCCCAGGTGGAACAGTCATGCTCCAATCCGGAACCGTAGGCTTGGGCAGTCGGGACCATTGTGCGTCCCATCAGCCGCCATTCGATCAGGCCATTGTGGGGGATGGTGGCATTCCGGTTCCATTCCTCCATCTCTGAGAGACAAAGGAGCTGTGGGCCAGTCCTAGTGTAGCTCATTGCATCATTGTACGACATTCGGATGATGCCCATGCTTTGCTTGGAGGACTCAGTCGGCACACTCCAAACCCATCGGCTTGGAACAGTCTTCACCTCATTCTCCACGAGGAAGCCATTCTGAGTGCTAATGTGGTCAGTGAACTGGTTGAAGTAGTTGTTCAACTTCTGCTTCTTTGCACCAGTTGACACTCCAGTCCACTCACGTGTGGCTTCTACAGTCGACCTTCGGCGTGCAATGTACACCAGTCGCTCGTACGTCGTACGGGGCATTCTCATCGAACACTCCTTGGCAGTACCATTGAACAGTCTTGCGCATTGCAGTCAGCGCGCAAAAGCTGCCATTCAACTGGTGGCACGGGAAGCGGCTAAGGCCAATCTCGCCAGTCACGAAGTAGCGCTCGCCAATGCTTGCTGGCAGGAGGATCCAGTCATAGACATGAACCAGATCGTGGACCAGGTTCTCCTTGGCATTCTGGTCCAGGCGCCACTTGATCTCCCATTTTCATTTGGTAAGGAACATTCGCTCAGCTTTGGTCATTGCCCACCAGCCAGTCTCCATCATGCACTCGTTCACATTGTTGGAAACAGTCTGATTCCCAGTGAGTTCATTCGCAATCTCAGGCTGGACATTGGACCATTGCTGCGCTCATCCGGGTGGTCAGATCGACTTCCGGACAGTCCTCCACTCCGGGTGCCTGGCAGGAGGATGGACAGTTCACTCGATTGGCCATCTTGTTTGCCTCATTCTCAGTCTTATCAAGCTCTTCCTGGCTGTCGACAGCGACGTAGTCATCAAGTCTTCGCCAAATCTTCTTCACATCGGCGCCACAGTCCATCAGGTCCAGGGCATGAGACACTTCATTGTTCACAGTGCCATTCCTCGACAATCGGTGCGGCTGCACCTTCTCACACATCAAGTGTGTCGTCTCAATCGGGGGAGCATTCGGCGGTCTCCCATCAGTCGCGGCAGGTGCAGCTGCCGCGGCAGTGGCAACATAGACTGCGCACTACTCATCAGCTGTCTAATGGCAACTGCGCGTTGGATGTGAATGTCTTTGTCGATTCGGACTGGGCTGGATGCAACAAAACCAGAAAGTCCACGAGTGGGTCCACTGTAAATGTACTGGGGTGCAACATGATTAGCGCCGCCAGGACCCAAGGGACTGTTGCACTGTCTTCCGGTGAAGCGGAATTGTGTGCGATTGGACAAGGAGTGTCTGAGGCACTGTTCCTTCGATCCATGCTGTTGGAATCTGGACTGGCGAAGACAGTCAGTGTGATCGCCCACACTGATTCCACTGCCGGGAAGTCCATGGCAACCCGCGGACACCGCAGCTACTGATGCTCATGACATTGATGATCATTTTGCCGCTCTGAATGCTCATAGAATGCCCCCGCCCGCCCGACCCTGTGCGCGTTCTCTCCGCTGTGCGTGCGTGCACACTCTGCGAGCACTGTGCGTGAAGGCTTCCTTGGGCGTCGCTGGACTGAAGTCCGCGCCGAGGGACTGTGAGCATGAGCTTCCGAATGCAGTGTGCATGTCCTTGAGTG